GAAAGGGATCATACCCAAACCAGAGCCTACCCGGGGGGGGGGGCTGGAGTGTGGGTGGGGGTGTGAGGAAACCACCCCATAAAAGATTTGCAAGGGTTGAGAAACACTGGTCTAGCACCTTTTTTATTATTTATTTATTACATTTCTATCCTGCTGCACTCCTATTGGACTCTCAGCATTTTCAAGAATACAAACATTAAAACATCACAATTAATAAAATCCAGGAACAGAAAACACATCAACCAGAAATCAAACAGATCAAAAAGAATCCAAAACAGTACAAACAAAGAGGCATCAAGCCCAAATATTCTCTAGAAGAGCTTTGTTTTCAACTGCTTATGGAAGGCACTAAGGTCAGGGCTAATCTAAAACCCAGTGGGAGACCATTCCAGAGGGCTGGCATTGCTACCAAAAAGGAACCCCTTTGTGGCTCAGTCCCCCGCATGTCCCAAAGTGGGGAACCACCAGCTGCATTTCCCAGCAAGAACAAATATGTTGGGCCAGTTCTAGCGGGTGAATGCTGTCCTGCAAATAACCTGGTACCAAGCCATAAACAACTTTATAAGTTATAACAACAGCATGTTAAATTGCACCTGGAGGCCTATAGGGAGCCAGTGCACAGCCTGTACCATGGGTATAATATACTTTGCCCAGATAATGCAGAGGCCACTGCAGTTGTGACCAACTGATACTTCCAAATGATAATTAAATAATGGTATGTAGAGCTATTGCAATAGTCTAACTAGTGTTGAGGGCAGCCAGGTCTTCTCACCCATGGTATAACTGTAACTAGCATACAGGGTGAAGCTTGGGACAGCCATAGCTTCCACCTGCTGATCTAGAGGAACTAAGAGGACTATCAAAGTCATGGGCCTGCTCCTTCAGAATTAGTACTTTCCCATCAAGAGTCATCACTGGAGCCATCTGAGCACCCTGATGAACAAACAGTAACTCTGTCTTGCTAGGATTCAGTTTAAGCTTGTTCTCTCCCATCCAGAACTTCAGAACCTCCAGACACCAGAACAGGACCTAAGCAGCCTCTCCAGTACAGCCTGGATAGAGATGTAGAGATGAGTGTCATCTCCTGAACTGACAGATAACCTCACCCAGTGATTTCTTGTAGCTATTGAACAATAGTGGGGAGAGGACCGATCCCTGTGGCATCCCACAAGGAAGCAGCCACCCAGTCAATCTCTCCTCTCCCACCACCATTGACTGGAACTGGCCACTGAGGAAGGAGCAGAACCACTGTAAAAAAAGTGTCCCTAGCTCCCAACCCTTGAAGCCAGTCCAGAAGGATACCATGATTGATGGTATTGAAAGCTGCAGAGGGATCTGACAGACTCAGGGCAGGTGCATTATCTCCATTCAGATCCCAACAGAAGTAATCTGCTAGCATGACCAAGACTGTCTCCATTCCATGCCCTGGTATAAGTAAGAACCAGCATCTTGAATGACATCCAGAAGCAAACCAAAAACCAATGCAATTCGCAGAGCAGAGGTGTTACATGGGTGTACAGAAGCATGCCTGCCCTGCTGCATTCTGGACCAGCTGAAGCTTCTGGTTGGTCTTCAAGGACAGCCCTATGTAGAATGTGTTGTAGTAGTCAGGCCATGAGCTGATCACAGCACAAGTAGACTATCTGAAGGGCAGACACATAAAAACACATTACACTATACAGTAAGTTGTGAAATCTACTCTTGATTTGGGTTCTCATGCAGATTGAAACACAATCTGGTCATAATGGTTTGTTAATGGTTTGTTTCTTTTTGGCTAACCTAAATGGTCCCACCCTTTGTAGTTTACTGTTATGTGAGACCACTATGAATTGTTCAGTAAACCATGGTTAAAAATCCTGGCTTAGTGATATACGTGAAGCAAAACCCAGAGTCAGTATATTTACAAATGTTGTGTGTTAATTAAGAATTCTCCCTCTTCAGTTGCTGTTTTGCTAATTTTAGTCTCTTTCCATCTAAATAGGACAGCAGTTGATGTGGGTAAGAAGATAACCTGTGTGGGCAACAGGCAGGTGAAAGGGGATGTTTCCAACCACTCATGGGTGAGAAAACCATATAGGCATAATGAAATAATTTTACTATATAAAGGTTTAATTGGAAAGACCTTCCCATGATATCTGCAGGAGTATCCTAGAACACTATGCATGTATGATGTTAGTGTGTCCTAGATGAACTGGTTGATGCCATGCATGAATAGAACAATTTGCTTTCCTTCATCCGCATTTCTACCACACATTCTATAGTAAAAGTACACTGCCTAAAAATAAATATCTCACCCTACTAACATAATTATCTCTAATAATCACAGAAAAGTTACAAAACTGCAGCAGTTATTTAATTGGTAGCATTTCCAAACGCCATATGAAATATATTTTGCCAGCTTCCTGAATAGAAACAGGATTGGATGAGTCCTGTGTTTTCTTTGTCAAAATATCCTGGGAAGGTGATCCTTTGGGACTTCAGTATCAAGATATAAGCTGCCTTATCAGTACTGGCTCAGGATTTCACAGCTTCCATAACAACTGTGGGACCATTTCAATAAGTTACTGCCCAGAGTCGCTGGGACTTGGGCGGTATATAAATTTTAAAAATTGTTGTTGTTGTTAGGGGCTTTTAAGTCTGCCATTTTAGGTTAATAGGAAAAGTGTTACTGACCCAACATAAAGTAGGACATCCTTTTCACTTGGATTTTGCACCAAGGAGTGAAGAGAGTCATATGAAAGTGGAGACATTAGCCATCATCCTTTTGTCATAGTCTGACCACTTTATGATGAGATTTGAACTGATGAACACAGCCTCTCAGCATGTAAAGATGGGAGACACATTAGAATAGTCTGTCTCCATGCTCCTGTGGAATTTCCCAAATGATAGGGCTTCTGATTTCTTCGGGGTCTTGGTGTTACTCTAGAAAGATGAGATAAATGTTCCTTGAGCATCTTTGCCACCGTTGTACATGCTTACAATGTCAATGCACATAGAAAGGGACAGGACTTTGATTCATGTTTTACACCCACCATTTTGTCTCCTCGTTGTAGACAGTCTTGACCTTGGAAACAAAGTCCATTCTCAGATGTAAAATATTTTGAATGCTGAAAGTTTTGTTCTTTCCAGCTCCTTAAATTATTTTAAGCTTCTCTCCTAAATTGGGTGTGAATGCATTCATTTTAGAACAAATGAAAATGTAAACAAGCAATGCCTATTTCATTAAATGTTTGTTTAGTTTAAAATGAAGTAATTGCTAAAAGGTCACAAATGTGTTTTCATTACTTTAACCATTTGTATTTGTCACTTATTGTAAGAACTGCAGCAAATTAAATGTTTACACATGAAGGAAGTATTTTTTTTCCCAATGAACCACAAAATAAATGAGATATTTAGTAAAAATAAAGAAATTAGCAATTTTAGGGAAAAAAATGAATTTTTAGCCCAAATCTCCCAAACGCTCTGTATCATTTCTGCTCTACATCAGTCTGAACGAGTTTTCCAACCTGCAGAATTTCAGGTTATTGGCTGGTTCATGGATACTAATTTCACATCTGCATTTAGTTCAGGCCAGCTTTCCTCAGCTAGTGGACTCCAGATGTGCAGGGGCTACAACACTCAGAATGGTCTGTCCAGAGCCTGAGAGAGACTCACTTACTGACATTTCTTTGTGATCAGGCAAACCATTACCCTCTTTACCCTTTTACAGAGTCCATTAGTAAAACACTGAAAAAGTTCCTACCTCAACTAGCTGACAGAAGAATTGGGTTCTAAAGGAATCCAATTGCTAAGATTTCTGTAACCGTATTCTATTCCTTTTCAATCAATCTTGCTAAACTGGAAAAATCTTATTTTCCATCACTTGACATTACCAACCAGCATGAATTTAAAAAATAAGTCTCAAACCTAATTTTGTACTCATCAAGAAAAATCAAAGGTTGACAGACCAAACTTAGAAAAAAAATTAATTCTAACCAGGGGTAATTAAATTCATTAATTTTAATTTCTGGCACACCAGATTTACTGAATTGTAACTCCCAGTATTCATAGAAAGCATGGCTTATGTTTACATGGCATAGGGTCTAATTACTTGAGGAGCCGTCTGTCTCCCATAGTATCTGCCCATTCAGTTTGATCTGGCAGGGTTAGGACGCTCCGGGTTCCACTGATTAAGTAATGCTATCTCTCTGGACCCCAGAGGCACACATTCTCTGTAGCAGCGCCTGCCCTCTGGAATGAGGTTCCCCAAGAAATTCGAACGGCTCCCACCCTACTGGTATTTCAAAGGGCCTTAAAGACCTGGCTCTTTGCCCAGGCCTTTGGAGAGGATGGCTGATGCCCCTTTCTTCCTTTGTGTTGTTTTGCCCCTTTCTGTTGTCCCCCTTTGCCATCATTGTTTTTTGCCTTGTGCTGTTTTTGTGTTTTTTGTATTGTTCCTTGTTTTTAAATGTTTTAACAATTGTAAACTGGCCAGATTCACCAGGAGTCCGGCAACACATATATTTGATACATTATGGTTGGTCGCACAGTCAGCTAGATGTTTAGACTGGATTTGGCATTTTTGTCCATCTATCAAGACCTTCCCAAGGACTTGGGATAGGCAGATGTTGTTCTTTAATAATGTTAAAGGTATTGTCGCGGGATTAGGCTTTCCAAGTAAAGCTGCCTTTTGCAACTGACCAGTGGTGATTTTGTCAATGCCGATGGTGTTCAAATGGTGCTCCAGATGTTTTGAGATTGCGCCCAAGGTGCCTATTACTATTGTTACTATCTTTGCTTTGTTTTGCCATAGTTCTTCTTCTATTTGCAGGTCTTTGTATTTTGTGGTTTTCTCCAGCTCTTTCTCTTCTATTCTGCTCTCTCCAGGTATTGCAATGTCCACCATCCAGACTTTTTTGTCTTTCTTATCAGTTGTGTGTTGTGTGGCAGGTGCTTGTCTGTTTGAATTCTAACATCCCAGAGCACTTGAGCTTCTTCATTTTCTATCACTTTGTCCATTTTGTGTATCCACCAGTTCTTGCTTACAGGCAAATGGTATTTCTTGCAGATATTCCAATGCACCATTGT